TGACCCCATTTTTGAACCCCTCAGGGAGAACAAGGGTCCCCTCCCCTTTTGGGGCCTCGTCGGGCCGCTTCTCATTGTTTTTGGGGGGGGGGAAGAAAACTTTCCCTCCCACCCTTTCCCTTGCGTCCCTCCCTCCCCCGTCCCTCCTCCTAAAATACCCCCCCCCCCCCCCCCCCCCCGCCCCCGCCGCCGCCGCCGCCTCCCGCCCCCCCCTTCCTCCTCCGCCCCCCTCCTCGCAGCGCCCCTCCCCTCCACAGCGCGCCTGCCCTCCTCCGCAGGCATACTCATCTTCTTCTACCTCTTCGCGGGCGTCGCTGTCTACCTCGCCATCTTCCTCCTCCTCCTCACCTTCGCCATCGCCACCGCAATCTTCGCGTATAAGGGCTCCCCCTCCCAACCACACCACCGCGCGGAGAGGGGCCGGGCATGCCCCGAAGCCTGCTCGGAGCTCCTCCCCGTAGGTGGCCTCTCCACGCCCTACATCGACGACCTCGTCACGCAGGGCGCAGGCTACGTCGGCGACAAGATGGACGAGCACGGCTTCGACACCGCCTACGTGACCGAGTCCTCCATGTACGAGAGCATGACCGCGGCGCCTCTCGCGGAAGGAGGTGTGGCGGCGGGGCGGCGACCGGCCGATGAGGAGCTGCGAGTGGCTCCTAGGTCAACGAGAGCATGAAGGAGATCTACAAGTGGATGGCGATCGTGACGGGCGTGCTGCTGCTGCTCGCCCTCATCTTCATCTGCATGGCCTCCAAGCAGATCAAGCGCACCACCGCTCTCGTCTCGGAGGGGACAAAGGTCATCAAGAACTCGCCCGCGATGATGTTTGTCCCGCTCGCCTCGTACATCGCGCAGCTCGTCGCCGTGTCCATCTGCGCCCTCATCATCTGCTACCTGTGGACCGACCCGGCCTGCCCGCAACAGGGCGTGACACGAGTGCGCGGGGGGGGGGCCCGTCCTCACCGCGCGGCTGTGAGCAGGCCTCGTCGTACCAGACCACCCTCGGCTGGGCGGAGGAGCTGAAGGCCAAGGCGAACTCGACCATCGACATCGCCGTCGACCCGAACGACCTGCTCAAGTACGAGACCGCCTACGTTGCCTTTGGCGGCCTGTGGACCTACCTCTTCTACGACGCCATCGTCACCACAATCATCTCGGCAGCCAGCAGCCCTGCACCTCGCCCCCCCCCGCCCGCACCCCTCACCCACCCACCGCCCCCGCCTCGCCCCCAGGGCTGCGTGGTCTACTACTACTTCATCGACCAAGACACCGCCGGCATGAAGGACTCGCGCTACGCCGACAACCAGACCGACCTCATCACCCTCTCCCAGATCGGGCAGGCGGGGGCCTAGTCCTTCCTACTCCCTCCTAGTAGTCTCCTCTCACAGATCGGGCGATGCGGGGCCGCACCCGCACCGCCCCCCATCCGCCCTCCACTCGCACTCCTCCCGACCCCCCCCCCGGCCCCTTCCTCCCAGGTCATCCGGTGCAACCTCGGCTCGATGGCCTTCGGATCGCTCATCCTCGCCCTCATCTCGGTGGTTCGCATCGTGCTCGAGTACATCGACGACCAAACCAAGGACGTGCAGGCGGCTCGCCGTAGTCAGCAGCCGCCCCGCCCGCCCACGGTGCCCTCGGCGCGCTTGCGCGCGCCTCACCGGCTCTCGCCCGCCGCCCAGGACGCCAACATCCTGCTCAAGTACGCGCTCAAGTGCTGCAAGTGCTTCCTGATGTGCTTTGAAAAGTCGATCAAGTTCCTCACCTCGTACGCTTACACCTTCGTCATCCTCGAGAACCGCGGCTTCTGCTCCGCCTGCTACATGTCGTACACCCTCCTCGGCGAGTACGCCACGCAGATCGCAATCAACAAGATGGTCTGCTTCGTCCTCTACTGGATCCAGTCCATCGTCACGCCGATCGTCTGCTTCCTCTGCGCGTACAAGCAGATGACGATGAACGACGAGAAAATCCAAACCGGCGCGGGCCCCCGGCCTCCGCGACGGCGTCCGACCGACCCTCGCCCCACCGCCCCCACAGGCCCCATCCGCACCTGTCCGAGGATGACGATACGACACTCCAAGCTACCGCGTGTCTGCAACCACTATGGAGGCGTTCTCCCGGCGAGCCGAATATCCATCCCGCGCCGCTTGGTCAGGAGCTCATGCCTCGCCATGTTGGAAGACACGGGCAGGATCCTAACCG